CGGTAGTCTCTTTGGTCGCGACGAAGCATTGGACCGTGGCGATACAGGGTCTCAGTCGTTTGAGGAAAGCAAGAACGATAAGGATAGCCCGTTCGTCTAGGTTGAAAAGACATCCAAAGAAGTGCTCCTCTACACTGTCTTACCTCATGTTGCCGTTTTTGGGAGCCTATCGCTGTATTGGTTGCGAGCTATGCTGTCATGATGGTGTCGGCCCGCCCTCTAGGATAGTGATAGGATATTGTTATTCCAAGAGTATTTTATATCGTTGCGATCGCTTTTGTAAATGACACTGCTTTCCTCACATCTCGTGTCTTTAGTAGCCAATCACTAGAACGATTTGTCATGCTTGCTTTTCAAAATGTGACACCTGACGACTGAGCACAACTGAGACTCTATGCTCTACTCCTCAATACTGATGCCCGGAAGTCTTGGGTATCGAGGTGAGGCATATGTAGATTTCATCTTCGGTATGCTGGAGGACTGTAACAAAGGACCGGTTGGAGCAGTTCCAAATCTCGCAGCAATCCACCTAGAGCTCCCCACAGAGCCTTTGCGAATCGCACAATGCCGCTCCTATAGGTTGTCAGCCCTACTGTGTCAATGATCTCCTGCGTTGAGAAGTGATAGACCATATGTAAGCCTAATATGTGGCATGGACCTGACCAAGTGTAGTAGTGAGCGATACTCAGAAAGTTGAATATGCCACTCATTCAATTCCGTTCAACATCCACCCTGGTGCGGTGTCGGGTGAAGATGGCTGATAGGAACACCCTGACCGCCTCTTTTTCTTTTTTTGCCTTTTTTTGTTCGTCAAATCCATGAGTAGTTAAGGTTTTTCTAACCATATAGTCGCTGCCTAAACAAAAGTAGTTATGTGGAGACCGAGGGCTTGGCTTTGCTCGGCTAATCGGGTTGACGTCCCGTTATGTTGATCAGGGAAAGACAGCGGCAGCCATGCCGTTCCCGAGCCGAAGCAGCGGCTGAGCAACCATAAGCGACGTGCTCAACGGATCCAAATTAGTCTTGCCGAGCGGTCAATTCTGTACGATCTCGTTTTGCTGTCATGTCTGACTCATGCGTACTCAACGTTCGCGGCGACTTTAGGCAAAGGCTAGCGTCGGAGGTACTTTCCCGCAAGGCTAAGGAAGCCCTAATCGTCCGACGTAGTCGGAGCATTCCCAAAGCAGTGTCGCCGATCCGATATTTGAGAGGAAGAGATAGTTGACAGGTCACGGTGAACCAAACAAGATTTTGGAAGATCAGAAGTCAACGGCAACAAATTTGAAGTCTTAGAATGCTGCAGCGTGCTCACCCAAGTGACATCCATCCCATGGTGTCTTAACGTGGATTGGCCCGTCCAGCGCTCTGAAAAAACACAACATCCCCTAAACTGGAAACATGGAAGACGATCTACGGGGTGTAGACCTCCCTACAATTATCTGTTTACACGGTGGNGGAGCGTCCGCCCAGATATTCGACTGTCAAACGACTAAGATACGACAAGCATTGAGAGATAACTTCAGCTTCCTGTATATCAGTGGCCCTTTCCCAAGTGTCGCAGGGCCTGGAGTATATCCGGTGTTCGCTGGTTGCGAGCCGTTTTACACTTGGGAGAATCCAGATCTCTCCCAGCCAAACATCATGCCAGAAGCAACGCTAAGGCTACTTGAGGATGTATTTTGCCAATGCAAAGATACAGGCAGAACTGTTGTAGGGATCATGGGTTTCTCCCAAGGTGCCCGGGTCGCCGCTGGCGTCCTAACGAACCAAACGAAAGAGATATTTTCTACCATCAGATTTGGCGTTTTGTTCAACGGGACATTTCCAGCGATGATACCTGCGAAGATCAACGGATCAGGTCCTCGAGTGCAGATACCAACTATTCATGTACATGGAGCTCTTGATCAATATCTTTCACAGAGCCGTGCGCTATACAATGCCGAATTCTGGGACTCTACTGCTACCCTATTGGAGCTTCATATAGGGCATTGTCTGCCGAGCCAGGGTCGAGATGTTGAGCGGTTGAAACGGGCCATAATGATGGCACATAACGAGGACTCAATTTGAAGCCATACCGCAGGCGAACTTGATCTCGTCGGTATGGAATAGTGTAGGCGGACTGAGAAGCTCGATAGTTTCAGGAGTTTCACCTACCATCAGCGGTTGCATGGATAGATAGTCACTTTAGCGAAACGTCCTTGGTACTTGAGCAGTTTGGAGAACCACCATGTTTAGTGCTCAAAGCATATACAACTTCTTTATCGATCCGATACCAGCTTACACACGCGGGAGCAGTGCACAGATTGGTATGGGTAAGAATCTGAAGCAAGAACAACGCATGCAAGAAAGTCTCTAGACAATGTATGAGACAGTGGCAGAGGCTGGTCATAGGGGGCAGCCGTTGGTGGCAATCTTGTAGAATTGCGCCGCATATCTCCCCTATTCATAAAAGAAATCCTGTATCTATGGCCAGCCTGTAAACTAAGTGAAAACAAAGTATAAATGTCAGTCTGCATATCAATTGGCCTTCTTCAGTCGCACAAAGCATTGCTGTGGTTTGTTCACGACCGCAAGCAATCCACTGTACCCCGAAATCTGTTCTGGACATCTCAAGAGTTCGAAGTGCCAGATCAACATGGTCAACATGATCCTAAATTCCACATACGCCAAACGTCGACCAAAACAAGCACGAACACCCATGCCAAAGGGCATGTTTGGGCCAGCTTGGCTATCGAAGACGACATCTGCGTTTCGTCTATCGTCTCCGACTGTCGGGTCTGATACTTTCAACCAGCGCTCAGGCTTGAACAAAGCGATGTCGTCGTCATCCCACGGACGAATTGGGTTCGTATGGTTGGTTTTCCTCCACTGGTCACTACGTTGACTCTCTTCAACCTCACGTGCAGGGGCCAACATACTATAACCGTTATGCAGAAAAAACACCATCGTGCCCTTAGGGATGGGATGACCTAGAAGAGTTGTGTCTCGAGTCGCTTCTCGGTCGCCAATGGGAACTGTACCTCCGCATCGTAATATCTCCTCCATACAGGCGTCGAGATATGCCATGGGAGTTTGCATAATCTCGTGCACAGATGGCGCACGCCCTTCTGATCTGGCAACTTTGAGAGCGATCTGTAGAGATTTTCGAAGTCGAATCTGGATATCGGGATTGTCGGCTAGAAATTTGACCCNCCAGCACATGGTTGTACTCATCGTGTCATGGCCAGCGACGACAAAACCAANAAATCTAACTTCGTAATCAGTATCAAGGCTGTAGCGACGACTGCATACACTTACTTCATCTATCACCATCGGGGAGAAGAACTCTGGTTCTCGCCGCTCCTTCTCTGCCAGTCTTACTTCTCTTTCGAGCATGTGTTCGACCGCAGATTGCAATTGAGCCTGATCTTCGTTCAAAGATTCTCGAGTCTGAGCTTTGACAGCCCTCTCGATTTCCACTCGGATGCACGCATCTTTTGTCTTGACCAAGCGCCGGAAGAAGGGCAGCTTCTTGATGTACCACCATTTCATACGTGGTGATGGCGAGCTCTTGACAAGTTCCATGGTATCTCCAAGCTCGAGCATAGACTCGATTGCTTCATGAACATGAGCTTCCGGGAATATCATAGGAAGATCTTTGTCGGGAGTGGCCACGAGTTCGTCTTTGGCCATACTTCTCAATCGAGCTACCTGGGGGCAAATGGCGTTGTGCGGAAAGCTGGCCCCAAATGAGAAAGCGAGAACAGCGTCCAAAGCGACATAGAAGATGTCTTTAGTAGCTGAGAACGGTTGGCCATTAGCAAGAAGTGCTTTTGCTTCCCATAGCTCAATGAAATGCAGACTGCTCGCGTAGATTGCGGGTGCAGCGACTTTACTGAGGAATGTAGGTGACATAGTATCTTGTACCAGGCGGCGGTGTAATTTCCATTCAGGTCCTGTCTTGAGCGTGAACTGATGTTTGTTGAGCANCCCTCCAAAGGTTTCGGCCGTGAGACTTGTCCGATCGAACTCTTTGATTCGATGAAGCATTACATCGCGAGCCTCCCAATAGTCGCTCACCAAGATGGTTGGCTTTCCGAATGGGCGAATAAAAATTTGGCTGATTGCAGAACCTGATTTCCTGTTCTGCTTTGCCAGCCATCCCACGATGTCGCCAGTTTTCGCGACATCCTTAAGCATTCCAGGAATGTCTCCGAGGACATTGTAGGCGGCATCGTGATTATACGGTATACCAGGTATGGGCTTTGGTTGCATGAACTTATAGATAACGAACAAAAGGAAAACGATCGTAGTTAGCCCGGCCGCGATGGTTGGGGAAAACATGCTTGCCAGCTTTGCGAATATCTCCATTCCAGCAAAATGCGCGATTGCATGGTAAAGTGATTTGAAAGCTTCAGCCATCTAAAGTCTGATCGGTGCTTCATGCCGATCTGTCGCACAGAATTTCGGAGGCTTTGTTGATACTTCTACGCTCGGAGCTCCAGTTGAGGTCTCAAAAGTCCGATCCCAGACCTCCCCAGCCAAATATCGGCAACAATCAATAGTTTGGCTGCAGGAACAGTATTCGTGAAACGTTACAGGCCCGAGCTGCAGGATAAGGACACACAGAACCTGCCGTCGGAGCCTAGCACGGCTCCGAATCGAAGTGTATGCAAGCTAAAACCCTCCGAGAGTCCTTGACAATTTGGCGACCCGTGCTTCAAGCGGCAATGATGAATTCGTGCGGGTGGGGTCGTCAAGTACTCCAACAATAGCAGAGGATCCTTGGGTCCAGCTGGCATGTTGTCAATATCTCCTCACTACTGAGTAGCGCAATATCGAGGTCAAAGATGGACCATTGTTACTCACATGACAATGGTGGTCATTTCCTGTAATGGACGAAACATGGCAAAATCTGGATTGACATGATCCGTTCTGAACTACACCAGGATGCTCCGGCCTCGGAGGCTGGTTTTTATTTGTCCGCTCCAAGAGCCTCCAATATCATCGTTCTCGTCTAGTTATCTCTCAATGGGTTCAGCTTTGAGAGCATGGGCAATCGCTCTTTCCTCCCAATTCTTCTTCCAAACCTCCACCTCACCACCACCATAGACCACACCAACACGCATGGTGGACAGAAGATTGTGGGCAGCGTTAGAGTGCTCGTATATGCCTCCATTGAAAACGGCTGTTGCATCTTTGCCCAAGAACGACCGGATCAGTGCTTTGCCACCCGGGTGGTCCTGAATCCACCCTGATACATCGTGGACAACTCCTGCTACTGAGATGAGAGCCTTGCCGTCGGCTTTAGCCTGGGCGACGAACTCATCCCATGTCATGACAGGAAGTTGGGCAATAGGTGTACCCCAGTCAAGCTGAGATCGTTTCTGATCAACCTTCTTTTGCAATTGCTGGATTCGACCTTTCTCGATCTCGTTAGACTGGAATTTTTTGAGATCGTGGGCCAGCCCGAGTTTTTTCCACGTCCAGATAGCCCACTTGGTAGGATCATATTGCCACCATTCTATCGCGTTGCGATAGTCAGAAGGGAATTCGTGGTGGAAGTTGTGGTATCCTTCGCCGAGAGTAACAAGGGCGGTAAAGACGTGGTCTCGGGGAGAGTTGCGATCGTCAAATGGCTGATCACCGAGCCAATGGGCTAGAGAATTGACGCAGAAGGTGGCCTGTTGCACAAAGCATGCTCTGATGATTCCCGCATAGAGAAATCCGCCGAGCCAATCGCCCCAACCGAGACCGCAGCACAGGGTAGGGAAGATGAGAGCCATGAAGAGAATACACTTGAGATAGTGCCTGTGTTGGAATATCACGACAGGATCCTCATTCAGGTCGCTAATATCAGAACGCCCGATTCGCTTCGGATTCTGCTTCATGACCATCCAACCGATGTGCGAATACACGAAACCTTTGCGAACTGAATATGGGTCTTTCTCAGTATCGGTATAGCGGTGATGAGCACGGTGGCCTCTTGCCCACCACCTGATAGAACCCTGCGCGGCTCCAACGCCGACCGCAGCAAGGTATATCTTCAGCGGGAGGGAAGCTTTATACGAGGTGTGTGCCCACAAACGATGGTACCCTGCNNATAACTCGGGCGTTAGTGTGTCACCAAGCTGCCTTGTCTCAGAGAGTTTCATACCAGCGGTGATGCCGAGTCCAGTATTGAAATAGTAGAAGATGGCAAAGAGGGCCGTATACAATCTTAAAGGATGATAGTATGCTGTGATAAGTCCCATGAGAGGCACAACGATGATAAAGAAAGTCGACAACCAATCGATGTGCTGGTACCAGTTTGACCAGTTCATTGGCAGATCCGAGATGTGAAGTTTCCTTGAGCGGTCAGGCTTCGACTCATCGGCCAACACTTTCTTCGCATCGTGCGAAGCGTTGACTGTAGACTTGCTATCGTTCGGCATGGTTCAGACCTGCTATGCAAAGAAAGAGTGCACTTTCCAATCCTTTTGGGTTCTCTTATACTGAGGAGAAATCCTCGAATGATCTGGGTGGCGATGCTGGCACACAAGTCAGAGTGGTTCGTGTGGATTCAGAGAGAATCGAAATTGAAGCAGTGTGGAGGAACTCAAGTGGCTTGTTTTATGTGGGAAGGATTCAGGCTTGCAATAAAAAGCGGGGATTTCGGTTGGGAGCCGCTAGGGAAAAACAGGGCGAGGCTTGCGAAAGTTCACAGTTGTGGGCGAGGCACGCACCGTTTGGAAGCGCGAGACACGGTACGCTCCGCCCGGCAGGGATGGTCGTCAAAAGGTCAGGCAGCAGAAACCGATGAATTATCTCGATGTGGAAATTGTTAAGCAGTGCCTGTGGAGGGGGAATAAATCCCACACGTGGCAAAAGAGGCATGGCAGTTCATCTAAGTATGAAGGGCAGGCCCGAACCCTATAGATGTGCAAGGGTTCTTGGTAGCGAACCAGATGTGAACGAGTCATGTAAAGCAGTCATCTAGATCCTCCCTAAGACAATCTAATTGCGTTCGACTAGGGATGTTGATCCGGAATTAGAAGTGACAGGACCGCAGCGTCAGGAGGAAATCTTATGTACGTATGGCAAGTCCCTTAGAAGAGCAGATATAGCTTGCGTGTCGAGCCAACTGAGCCTGGAAGATGGGTTGGCTTATTGTGGGACGTTGTTTCTCATGACGCAAAGGCAGCAGCCAGAATTTACCGGGAGCAGAGGGCAGCGCGCAATGCACCTCATGATTTCTTCGAAAAGATCTGTGAGGGGACAGCGGTGGGAGAGCATCTCCACCGGCTAGAATCCATCAGCTAAAATCCTCTTTCTCTAGGCGAGGTCAGAAAAGCACAGTCACTATGAGGCCGACCGCTTGATTTTCCTTATTGGCGGTTGGCATCTACGACAACTGCATGATCCCGCCGTTGCCACGCAGAGCGAAGTACGTCTGGATCACATTTTGGACCCACGAATCTGTAGCGCATGACGCCAGCATCCTTCAGTGGAACGAAGGATTTTTGTGGCAGCCATACGGAGGGCTCATCACTACCACAAATTCGAACTACCGGAGAGGTAGGTTCGACCGCCCCACTTCGATGTTTGAAAGTTGCGTGGACGGGTATGCAGTACGGTAACTTGATCCGCCAGATATCTCAACAACTTCTTCACATCGAGGCCAAGGGCTACCCCGAAAGTCAAGCGGTCTGGAAGAGCTAGTAGCTATATAGTATCACAGTCGCTTCGCCGCCTTTGAGACTGTAGGATTTCGAGCAATTGCCGCCTAAATCCGTATCTTGTAACAGGTATCGTCAACAAGTCTCGTGTGTAACGCATAAGAGGCAAGTACTGATTGCCGACAGAGACTTTTCCAAACAAGCAAAGATTCCGAGCGTTGAACTCAACGTAAAACTACCGCCCAGACGACATGTCATACGTCGCTAAAAGATACGCCTGTGATAGATGTCGGGAGTTGAAGCTGCGATGCAATCGGAACTCGAGCCCAGAAAATGCAAGCTGTGACCGTTGCATACGAGTAGATGCTTTGTGCGTCACAAGCAATGGTAGGCCTTTAGGTCGACCATCTATGCAAGGAGTTCGCCATCTTCAGGCGAATCACAACTATCGACAACAGTCCACACAGCTGGAGAGACAGAACAGAATGGACAGCATAATCCAAGAGACTGCTTCGATGCCCGACTGGCAGTATGAGCAAAGCTTTACATCGCTGGACTCAAGGCAGATGTTCACTTCTTGCGAACGAGTCCAGCAGACTGACGGTTTGGCTAATACATCGAGGGAGAGACCTCAGAATTCTTTGGCACGTGAAAGCTCGTACGAGCCATGGGCGGACTGTCAGGAGAGAAATATGTCAGGGCAAGAACAAGAAGCCCAGATATCTGAGACAATGCCCAGCCTCTACCAAGCTTTTGTCCAGTCGAGCGACGTCCCGGGAAACGCTTTGCCATCTGGTTCCAAGGCCTATGACTGTGTTGACCAGGGGGAATTCACCACAATGTCTGGCCATGCTCGACATTGATTTCTCAGGACTCAATGGCGACGTCGAGTCATCTCGTTTGACCAACGTACAAGAGTCTGTCTCATCAAATGGTCTGCTTTCATCCAAATCTCATTTAGCACATGGAGACCTTCTTAGGTCAGCAGCTGCAGGTCGTGACCTCTTGAGGCCCTTGAGTGGTATCATTGAGAATATCTCACTTCAACTGGATGAGCTACGGGAGAAGACTCTCGAGCTGAATCTGTCCCCGGAAAATTTTTCACCTTTCGAGGGAATAACACCGAGCTTCGGGTTTCTGGATGGTTCTATATCTGCGGATGTAAACAACACGAGTACGAACTGAATTACATACGACCCCCTGGGAAAAGCATTGATCATCGCTTTGAGATTTGGCCTGCTTCTACAGATGATGGCATCTCCTCCGGTAGAATGGCGCGTTCCGACCAATTGCAAGTGTGATACAGTGCTCGACTTCTCTTTGCATGATGACTGTCTCCAAACAGCATCATCGTCAGCAGTGTCAGCGTCTTCGACACCTTGCCGTTCACATCAAGGAAATCACTCTCAACCGAGTAACACGCCATCGTCGGCCGCGCAGACGTCTGTGCCATTACATGTTACTTTGATGATGCTATCTGCGTATCTGCAACTAGGCGAATTACTCAATGCAATTCTCGGACCGACAAATTCGAGACCCATCGATCGATCCATTCGTGGAAAGGCCATGTTGGCAATACGTGTAGTGGAAAATCAATTGCATAAGATAGAGAAACTGGTGGGCATACCTTCACAATACCGTTTGTGGGGACATAATCAGGTCTCCGGTCATGCTACCAAGTATGATCCAGTCTCGGTGTCGACTAGAGCTATGATGGGTCAGGTGCAGGAGGCCTTGTCCAAGCTCAAACGGACGACGAGAAAAATCGAGTCCGCCATTCTGGGTTCTGCTTGATATTGGTTTCAGAGATCATCTTATTCACGAAAGCTCTGAGCCGCAATTAGGACAAGCAGTAGTTGCAAGTACCACTTTTGCCTGCTTCATAGGAAATCGACTTGCAAAGACTATACAAAAACGGACCCCCATCATCCCGCCCTCTTGGAGGTCTCCGTTCATAAGGACTGATGCAAACGCAATTTTTCACGAGTCAGCCTCGATAGTCATGTGTAACATTATCAGATTAGCGTGAATTTTGCCAGGAACCTTTGCAGACAGATAGATAATCTCTGTTTGTAGCATACAAAGCTGAGCCCCCCTCCCCCTCCGTTTGACGTCACCGAGCAGTGGTCGTCCTTCAAGACGGAGCCAATCATGAATGTGGGGCAAGCTTAGTTCGATACGGAGGGTTTATCTCGGCAACGACCAGGCCGAACTTCCACACTTGTTCCAAGTGGCTGAGCAATTCTTCACATTCGCCACTACTGAATCGGAGCTTGACAGTCGTGCAAAAACTTCGGAGCCTTTCATGCGAGGCAAGCGCAGCCAAGAAAAACAAGGCTCCTAGCTAATAGGAACCATACCTAGCTAATAGAATCCATGGGTTGCACTACAGCCCGTCTAAAAAGGGTTTCGCGGGGTTATGCTTTCGGCGCTTGGCGGGGTAGAAGTGAAGTTGAACCCGTAGTAGAACCCCGATCTTGTAAGTTGTATGAACACGACTCAATATTTGTAAAACTATGGTAGAGATGAGTTAATATGATACAAAGGCAATTGCACCATTTAGATTTCTGATTCTGGCTGCGACTTGTTGAGTATCGTTGTCCAAAATATGGCAAGTATGACTTTCGAAGTTTGCCAAGAATTGCGCCCGCAACTCCACCCGACTTCTTGTAGGCATGCAAGGTCACCCCAACAACATTAACACCAAAGATCTGGGAGTAAGATATATGGTCAAATTTGTGATCTATATAGTGAACTCTTCAGTTTCTTCGTCAGAAGAATCTTGAACCACTCGCAGCAAGCGTTTAGATTTTTGCAAGTGAGGAGTAGGTTCTTGAGTGGTCCCATTGAGCGTCCGGCCTGGAACCACTTCCCGGTCACCAAATATATGTTTTTGACTTGCTCAATACCAGCCACTGAAGGTATAAGATCTGCTTTCAGACATGCTAGGGCACGAAGCGTATAGTCGCGACAGGAGTCACAACAGTTACGGACAAGTTTCGATGATGAGGTGCCATGCTTCTCGAAATATGCGTGGATCTCAGCAAATTTAGCAAACATGCGAGCGAATTCAGGGCCATCACAGGTTGTCGCATTATCAGAACCATCAGCCGATGTCACCGCTTCGTTATCAAAACTGCTTAAGGGAATTTCATCTAACAGTTGCGACAGGCCAGCAGCAGGAGACTCGCAAGGTGGAGTGACTGGTTCAATGATCCGATGGCCACGGATTCTCTTGATTCGAGACTCGCCGTCTCGGCGTACTGTATTCGTAGCTTCCGCTACGTCTTGAGGACCATTATCCAGACAATCTGTACCATCACTTGGCTCCAAATCAGGATTGGCGATAGTAAGATCATCGTTTTCTATGCGCTTTCTCTTCCGGGAACTGTCTTTTGTTCGGATAGCAGAAGTCGGCTGCTGTTGCGGTGTTGTCGGGACCACAGGCATCAGCTCTAGCACATCTTCCCGAACGCTCGAGGCGGATGCATTCATGGTACTGTTGAAGAACTTGACATCTTCTGGAATAAGCTTACGAGTCTTCAAGATTCGCGTTCGAGGAGGACGGTTTGCAGGATCAAGACGTCTCTCAATAGCACAACGCCAACCGATCACAGCTTGTTGCTGATCTGGCACGTTTGCACTAGTGATGGCCACTTCACTCAGCATTCTCTTAGATAGGTCTTTGACAGACTCGGCAGGTCTCATTGAAGCAGGAATAGTATCAAGCCAGTTGTCGCCCCATATCTCAGCAATGGATTGCTGGTGGTTCTCTT